ATCTAATACATCACATTAACAAGAGGAAGGAGAAAAACCCACACAATCATTTCAATTGATGCAGAAAAAACATTTGACAAAATTTAACAATCTTTCATAATTAAAAATACTCAAAAAATTAGGAATGGAATGAAACTACCTCAACATAATACAGGGTAAATATGAAAAAACCATAACAAACATCATGCTCAATGGTGAAAGACTAAAAGCTTTACCTCTAAGATCAGGAACAAAAGAAGGCTGCCCATTTTCACCACATCTACTCGACACAGTACTTGAAGTTCTAACTAGAGTAAGTAGGCAAGAAAAAGAAAGAAAAAGCATCCAAATTTGGAAAGAAACAGGTAAAATCATTTCTGTTCACAGATAACAGGACATTATATGTAGACAACCCTAAAGATTACAAGCACACACACACACCCCAGAGCTAATAAATGAGTTCAGCAAAGTGGCAGGGTACAAAGTCAATACATAAAAACTATTTGTATTTCTCTACACTAACAATTAATAAACTGAAAGAAACTTATTTTAAAAATTCTACTTATAATAGCATTGAAAAGAAAAAAATACTCAGGAATTAACTTCACCTAAGAGGTGAAAGACTTGTTCAATGAAAACTACAAAACATTGCTGAAAGAAACTAGGGATTGGATTGGAAGACTTAGTATTAAGATGCCAATACTACCCAAAGTGACCTATAGCTTTAATGCAATCGCTAACAAAATCCCAATGAGATTTTTTGCAGAAATAGAAAAACCCTTCCTAAGATTCACATGGAATCTCAAGGTAACCCAAATAGCTAAAACAATCTTGAAAGCTGGAGGACATCTCCTGATTTTGACACTTATCACAAAGCTACAGTAATCAAAACCATGTGGTACTGGCATAAAGACATCCACTTTGAGACCAATGGAATAGAATAGAGAGCCCAGAAGCACGTATATGTTTAAATGATGCCAAGACCATTCAACAGGGAAAGAATAGCCTTTTCAATAAATGATGCTGGGAAAACTGGTTATCCTTATGCAAAAAAAAAATGACTCAAGATAGACAAAAGACCTAAATGTAACCCTTAAATCTATAAAACTCTTAGAAAAAAACGTGGGGCAAATGCTTTATGACATTGAATTTGCCAATGATTTCTTGGATATGACACCAAAGGCACCAGCAACAACAACAAAAAATTGGACTTGATGAAAATTTAAAAATCTTATGCATCGAAGGGCAATATCAACAGAGTAAAAAGGCAACACACAGAATGGCAGAAAACATTTGCAAATCATTTACTCGATATGGAATTAATATCCGGAATATAGAGAAAACACCTAAACAAAAAAACCAGACAATCCAATTCAAAAATGGGCAAAGGATTTGCATAAACATTTCTCCAAAGAAGATACACACATGGCCAATAAGCACATGAAAAGATGATCAACATCACTGATCATTACAAAAATGTATATCAAAACTACAATAAAGATACCATTTCACACTGATCAGGAAGCCTACTAAAAAACAAAACAAAACAAAACCCAGAAAATAACAAGGTTGGCAAGAATGTGGAGAAATTGTAACCCTTGTCCACTGTTGGTGGGAATGTAAATGGAAATCACTACAGCAGTTTCTCAAAAAATTAAAAATAGAATTACAATATGACCCAGCAAATCCATTTCTGGGTACATACCCAAAAGAATTAAAAGCAAGGTCTTGAAAAGAAATTAGTATACTCACGTTCCTAGCAGCATTCTTTAAGAATAGCTAAAATGTGAAAGCAACTCAAGTATACATCTACAAACAAATGGATAAGTAAACTGTGATATATATGTACACAGAACATTATTCAGCCTTAAAAAGGGAGGCACTTCTGTCACAGGCTACAACATAGATGAACTTTGAGGACATCATGCTAAGTAAAATAAGCCAGTCACAAAATGACAAATAATGTATGATTCCACTTATATGAGCTACTTAAGAGTAGCCAAAGTCACAGATAGAAAGCAGAATGTTGGTTGCCAGAGGCTGGGGAAGGGGACATAGAGAGGTCTTGATTAACAGGCATAGAGCATCAGTCTGACAAGATGAAAAGAGAAAATCTCCGATGGGGTGGGGTTGGTATGGGTGGGTAAGAAATGTGTAACAGTCATATGAAGAAAACAAATTCAAATGAGGGATGTTAAAGGTAAACTTGAACAAGTGAAAACTAAAAGCTTGTACATAGAAAAACTCATTCTTTTCAATATCAATTTTCTCTCAATCATTTTTAAATGCAGTGCAATCTCAACTAAAATACTAGTGGATTCTTTTCTTGTACCTTGACAAAATAATACAAAATAATGAGGAAAAATTAGATATTAAATAGATATTAAAATTGTAACTATAAAAGTACACATCAGTGGAGCAGAATAAAATGCTGAGATACAGATATAGACATTTGAGAACTTTATTATATGACAAAGATGGTATCTCAAATTACAAGAGGCTGTTAAGCTATATGGCTAGTTATTTGGACTATAGGAAAGCAGAGTCCTTACATCTTTCTTTACACAAAAAGTAATTCTAGATTAGATTCAAGCCTAAAAATAAAGATTCAAGCATAAAAAATAAAAACATAAAAATTATGAGAAAATATGGGTAATTCAAAAAAGTTTTCATTTAGCAAGTGGAAAATTCTTTATCCAAGACAAAAAATTGAGAGGCCATTAAAAAAAAAAAAAAAAAAAAAAGGATGTTTAAAAAATTTTGAAGCCTACATGAAAAGTACCTAAAACACATATATTAAACTGGCCAATCTCCCTAACTTATCAAGAACTTGTATAAACAGAGCAATAGAAAAATGGGCAGAAGATGAACAGGAAAGTTTACAGAAGAAGATATTAAAATGCCCAATTAATACATAAGAAAAACATTCGATAAAAATAAAAGAAATGCAAATCAAAACAACAAAGGAATACTGTATTCAACCAGCAAAAAAAAAAAAAAAAAAATTAGCAATACCACATGTAAGTGTGGGTCTAAGAATAGTCCCTGTCATACATTCCTGGTGACATTGCAAACTCACACAAGAATATAAGGAACTAAAGAGAAATAGCATGCTCATATAGGTTTTTTAAATGATAGATTTAATACTAAAGTTTCTTGCTATAACGTTCATTTTATTATCTTAATGTTCCACGTATAGCTTATAATAAGGTAAAGAGGGTAATGATGGACAGGCTGTGGGGCAAAAAGTCCAAAAAGTAAATGTTGTAGCAGATATACAGATGAAATACTGTCCTAAAGGTCCAGGGCCACCCGGCCATATTTGACCTTAACTGTCAGTCTGATCAGAGCAAAATTGAGCCAATGCTTCTGGTTGTATTTATCTAGCCCACCCTCTTATTCTACCATTTCCTAGTAAAAAGCCTTACAAAAGACTCCAAGATTCTTCATGTGTAAAATGAGGATGAATATTTTTTTTTAGTTATTTTTAGAAATTAAATGATAGTGCATATAGTAAGCATTAAACAAATGTTAGCTGGCAGATGCCAAGAATATAGGTTTTGATATTTTATTCTCATGCTTAAACAGTTCTGTTCTATGCATTTTTTTCTCTATATGTCTTTTACTAAAACTTGTCTTAAACTTTTAAAAGCAGGCAAGATACTTAAAAATAAATTGTTATACTAGCAAGAACACATTAGTAACTGTGCTCCCAGATGCATTCCTTGCTGCAGGAAAGAATCAGTTATTACACTGGACACGAGAGGGTTGACCTCACTTAGCAAAGGCGACGGTTGCACAGGGCCTATGCCCACACCTGATTATTGCTGTGACGGTTTTCTAGTGAATCCTGATGACCCAGAAGGAACCTCAGAGAAACACTGATTATTAGACCCCTTGAATTAAGTAACTAACAGCAGAGCATCTTGATTTTTACCAAAGAGTAAAAAGATGTTTTCCATGAATGTATTTCTGCTTGTTCTGCACACACAAATCCAAGCCGACATCAGAGTCTGTGCCACACTGAGTGGAAGTGCCACACTGAGTGGAAGTGCCCAACCCAACACCATCAAAGAGCATACAGCACTGACATTACTCACTTTTCATCTCTCACTCAGGATCTTCCACTTCCCTACTCCCTCCCACACCCATCCACACAACAAAGGTCAGAAAGGAAAAGGGCAGAATAACTTTTTCTCAGGAAATCACACATTGTCAAGTAATATCTGGCCAAAACTCTTAAAAGTTACCCTACTCTAATGTCCTTACATTTTCTTTTTTCTTCCCCTCTCATCCTCTGCTACCCTTCCTCTGATCCCTCCCCAGGCCTCCTGTATCTAGCTCTATTACTGCCCCTGCACAATCTGTCTTTGTGTAAATTCTGTCTTTTCTGTGTGCAGCTGAGAGCAAGAAGCATGACTTTCTTTTCAGTTCATCCCCAGCATAGCACCTAGCAGAAAACCTAATAGGAGGTGCTGGAAGATGCCTTGGAATAACTAAATAAAATATATTATCCACACTGCAACATACTGCAGAGACCTGGATTAGTAGTCAGACTCAAGTGTCAGTAACGCTATCTGCTGGTTCTGTAGCTTCTTAGTAAAGCATTTTAGCATCAGTTTCTTCTTCTATAAAATGGGACTTTCACTTGCTCTGCTATTGTATATGGTTTCACAAATTAAAATGATTAAAGTAAAAAGTGCTTATGATTATGCTAGTTTAAAGTGACATGGTTACTTCTGTGGAACAGCATTACTTGTCAACCAAACTCTAAAGTTAAGTCAGGAGAGGACACTTATTCTATTAGGAAAGGACGATTTAATACATTTATTCTCTTTTTCTTCAAGTCACAGGTAAGACATCGATTTACATTAAAGCAGCAGGTAAGACATCGATTTACATTATGTCATTGTGAGTATGTAAAATGCTTATGTTTGGAAACAGAAACGGCCTGTGTTAATTGTGCTATGTCTTCCAATCGTAGTTATCATTTAGATATAAAGTGTTTGGATATTTCTTACCAGGTTCTGGAAGGTCTAATTTTGCCCGCTTTAGTTCCACCATAGAAATCTGAAGCTGCTCTATTACAAAATCATCTTCAAAGAAAAAGTCCTTTGCCAAGGTCTCCTGAAGAAATTCTACAAGTTCTTCCATAGACAATTTCATTAGATGTTCTAAGAAAGGAGAAGAGAAATAAAAATGCTATGTCAACAGCTACGTTAGGTTGAGAAAATATATTCTATTCTGGTGTAATATTTTTTGAAAAGGGCACAGCAAACAAATTAAATATGGCATTGTGAATACTGAAACTCAGTAACACAAAAATGTTTTCTGATATTAAAGCAGTCACAGAGAAAACCAGGTACTCCTACAAGAAAGATGGGGAGAGGAATACTTATACCGTCTCTCTGGTGTAAGAATAACCATACTGAGGCATGAATACTAACCTAGAGCAAGAGCCTCTTAGAGAGAATACACCAAAAAAGATCACCCAAGATGACATGAGGTCTTCCTGTTTTATTGATATGGAGCTCCAAATCCACTTTTAGAATTTCAAAAAAAATCTGAATTACTAGTTTTATTTATATTTCTACTTGTGAAATTAATTTTATTGAAAAATCAAATGATAGATATAAAACAAAAAGGAAAAATCAGCTAAGATCCCACTGTCCTACAAGTAGATAGATGCGTGTACATGTATATCGCTTTCAAAAAGTAAATTATACTTTCCATGCTATTCATCTCGTTTTTTTCCCCACTCAATAATGTATGTCACTGATATCTCTGACTTCAACATATAGAATTTTACACTACTATTATTAACAGCTATAAGAGTCCATTGTATGTATACACTATAATTTACATAATCAGTCTTTTAATATTGGGCATTTAGGTGATTTCAAGCTTTTTTTACTATTTAAAACTACTGTGTCATGGGCCTTCAGTAACAATGTTTCTTGACATTGTTAAGACAATCAAGAAAAAAAATAAAATAAAACAAGAAAAAACGTAGGAGCTTCAACTAACTACTGGTTAAGGTGCCCAGAGTTTTTGAAGCTTTCTATGGTGATAAAGGAACTTTCTGTAAGTTTTTGAGCTTTCTCTTCCCAAGAAAAAGATACACAGCAGCAGACAGATATTTTCCACAGCTTATTTAGCCTAATGAAATGATAGCATATAAAGCAACTGTTATGCTTAAAGTTTATTTACAAAGGATGAAGAAACTTTTTACTTGTCAAAATTAATCAAGAGTTATATAAGTAAAACATACTTTAAGAGGGAGAAGAGACCTATGGAGAAATAGGGCATTATGTTTCTACTCATGTTTAGAAAACATGAAACTAATAAGTATATATCTTAATAAAAAGTATACTTTTGTTCTCTATCTTAGTCAGTTTATAATCCGGAAAGAGAGAAAACAAGGAATGGGGAAGGGGTGGGGAGAAAGAGGGGAGATGGAGAGAGATCGATTGAGCTCCTGTGGTTTTGACAGTCTTGGACAGACAACTCAATGTCAATTGCTTTGTTTTGGTGCTGTGGTTTGTGTGTTGGGGGAATAAGGATTAGGGTGTAAGGGAAACAAACCACAACACTTCTGAACCTTTTTCTTTCAGAGTAAACAATACAAACATGATTTTAAAGGGAGTTTTCATTCCCGTCTAAAGTTTGGATAATCTGGGGCTCATGAAGTCCATGCTTTTCATTTTACGTGATCAATCCTATATTAAAGCACCTAACATGTACCTAGCTCAACGCCAAGCACAGAAGGGAGAAAAACTACAAAACATAACTCCAAGTATTCAATGAGCTTATAATTGAGCTGGGAAACTGAACAGATGAATCATTCGAGAATAACATGAAGGAGAATACAATGAACATGAAACTATGCCGAGTGACCTCGATCTGAAGTGCTATATGCAGTTCTAAAGCTTTCAGTGATTCTCTTCTCTGCATAGTCACAAAAGGAGTCACATAATTTTTAAGGTTGAATTGAGACTTTAAGATGAATAAGGCTCTTCATTTCATGAAGAAAAACTCTCATTTCTTGATTTTAAAGTAAGGCACAACACATTAAATTTACAGAGCCCTTGAAATATTGCAGCTGCAGACTTTTTAAAGCCTTGTTGCATTTAGGCAACTACAGACATGGACTGTACTTGCCCCAGAGGACACAATGCAGTCAGGCAAAGAGATGAGCTGGAGGCTCCACATCTCTGGTCTACAGCTTGGAGCTGGGCATTTCTCTCGGATAAAGGAAAAGTAATGGAAAATGTCCTCTCTAGACCTGTTAACTAAAGAGCCTGGTTTCTTTGGTCTCTCTCTTCTATTACGAACCTGAGATTCAGAATGATAGAAAGAATGAGGGGGTCCCAGAGGAAACAAATACTTAATAAGACTCATATTACTGACAAAACAAGCATACTGCAGTCTACTGCTTAAGTATGAAAAATAAAACCGATATAGAGAAAAGACTTTTGCAATGTAGTAAGCTTCTAGTCATAAGAACCAATGAAAATAAACTAGCAAGTGAAGATAATTTCTTCACTGATTTTCATTTTTTTTTAACCCACTACTAAAAGGAAATGAAGTTAAGTGAGGAATGAGAAATCAGAGTTAAAACATGGCTAGATGTTTGTGAAATCTTTATATAAACATTTTCTTACTTTTGTGTAATTTTAAGATAGTGTAAGACATAGCAGTAAGAACTCGTTCTCCTTCAAAGATGTAGATGTCCCATATTCTGAGGTTTAATGTAAAGGGAGTCTAATTAAAAACAAAACAGAAAGAAGATTAATAGTTTGCCCTGTCTGGTATTTATAATTTTATGATTGGGTTTTGTAAAGAAATACTCACACGATCAAGGAAACATTGAAAAAACCATTTCATTGTGTAAAAACTTGTGAAGATTTCTTGAGAATCCTGAAAAAACAAAGACTTGACAATTTCTGGATTGTAGCAAACAAATTATGATATATAATACTAAAAGTTAGGAAGGCCATTGGAGGTAGCTGTCAAAGCTAAACATAAAACCATTTTATTACAATCTTTTTCATGCTCGAGTATTTCTATTTTTTCTCTTCTACTTCCTCTCCTCTCTCATTTTTACTTTTGCAAATCAAATATAACATTTTGATTCTTCTTAATATAGTTTAAAGCATTTTTGCTTTAATAAACTACTGTTTTATCATAGAGCTTACATATGGTTCACAAAGGATGAGTTTTTATGACCCTTAAAATACTTTTTGTGAAATAAAAACATCTCCAAAATTACTGATATATATATCATATATCTTTAAAAGTTGTATGGTTTGTGTGTATCAGCTTCAAAGAAGTTTGAATTAGGGTTGTGATAGTTCATCAATATTAAATTTCACAAATCCAATGTTCTTTAATCAACCGGCATTTACAACTGCACAGTAAATGAAATGGACAAGGTAATTGAGAACAAAGGCTGCACTCAATTCTTCTATCTTTACTCTTGGTTGTAGGTGAGTGTAAGTCAATGTCACATCTACCTACCAAGTGTTGCTTAAGCTTGGACAGAAATTTATTCAGTATTTTTTCATGATGTTCTTGGAATCTCAACAGTTTAGGAAAACCATGGACAAAAAATCCTAGAATACAAACATAAAAATGATATTTCATAAACAATATCAACAAAAATCCCTATTTTAAAATGTAACACATTCCTTTCATTTTTAACTGTCAATGACAACAAACAATAAATCCAGGAGTTACCAAAATATTTTTCCTCCTCAACAAAAAAATAATTGTGGATGAGCTTTAGTTAATGAAACTCAAGATCTAGCATATATTTTCTAAAGATCTCCTGTAACCTTATAAAAATATAAAAGAGGACAGAATTCTTCTGAATTAAATCGAAAACTAAGAAGCTAAGAAAAAATGGAAACTAAAGCCATTTATCAAGATTATCTATTCTCTTAAAGTACTGGGCTATACCTTAAATGCATGAATTTTTTACAGATTAATCTTGATTTCTTATCATTTTGTTTTACTGTTAATGCATTGCATAATAAACATTTTATTACATTTTTCAGGTTTATTCTAACAAATCCATTAGTATCATGCTTCTAAAGTTTTTTTTTTTATCACTATTTTAATCCTTTCTGCAAGTGATATTTAACATCAGCTAAAATACATTGGCAGTATATGATCAATGTTACATCAAGAATTATATTTTATACCACAGATTATACAATATAATATGTAAGATTTCTAGATGGTAACTAATTATAAATGGTAAGTTATTATCAATTTTGTGTATCTAACTCATGGAACTCTACATCTACTTCTAGTCACAAGTTTCCTTTCAGACATTCTACACAAATCTCTTAAAGCTGACATATGCTCAATGGCTTTAAGATTTATACTTCCTCCATATTAGTATTTAACAACCTGGGTCCTGTGCAACTTTGAAAGATGTTCTTTGTTTTTAAAAAAGAATCCAGGGGAAATGTTTTTTGTCCTACATACCCTTCTTGGATATTCATGATAGATATGAGCTTCTTAATGTTTCTAAGTTGTTTTACAGACTAAAGAAAGTTGTGTTTCTTTGTTTAACTCAGTCTCCTAGACTTATAGGAGTTTGGAGTCCATTTTCTCCTCACTAAACATCTGTCTCCAAACAGTAAAATTGTGTTCCTCCAAGAATTCAGGGAACACACTATTGGGAAAAACTGCTTTATGATCTTTGGGGAAGGACTATTTCTTAACTAATTCTATTTTTAAGTTGTGTGTAAAAATTCCCAGAAACAAAGATTCTATTCCTCCCTTGCTAATATTTTCCAGTGAAATGATTTCATTAAAAAAAAAAATCCATATCTCTCCATTTGTGCCACTTTCATGGTCAATTTGATAGGAATGGAAATTCAAGAAAAAGTCTGATTTTGAAAAAAGCAATGCTCTTCAATAATAAACATTAGCTTAAGGCTAAGATACCTAACATTTATTTCTTCACTTTGCAGTGACACCCCAGACTTGGTATCTTAAATCTTGTTTTTTTTTCAGTCCTCACTTTATTCTATACATTTAAAAGTGATAATTACCACTCTCAGATAGGAAACACAAAGAACTGAGGTAAGCTGTACTTCTAACAACTCATAGGCAGACCTTAAAACAAATATCTCTACAAACAAATTTACTCCTAATAATGACCAAAACTGCACTGTAAATGTAAATGTTAGGGTAGTAAAATTATCACTGCTTTATTGATTAGACTGGTGACAATAATTGTTGAAAGTAAGCTATCAAGTATGTTTAAAAGAAATGATTTTTCTAAAATTGGGCAGTGTTCCACATAATTACATACTACCTAAATTGTAACATTCCATTGTATTTAAACATAATCGGCAACACTGAGCAGTAAAGCAAAATGACTGATAAAAGGCACAGTGACTTTTCTTCAAGATGGCTTTTTAAATGATACTGTCTATTGGACAGCAATTCAATGTAATGTGTCTTATTTCTGGAGTCTATTTACGGGGTGCGAACTGTCCAGAAACAGTTATCATGCAGATAGTACTTATTAAAAAAACTTTTACATGAAACACTGAGAGACAGCCAAATGCAAATACACAAATATGCACGCATGCATGTGCACACGCATACCACACACATGAAATATCCCCACAAAAAACACATGATAAGAATGTGATATTTAATAAACTATGGACTATAGAAGGTCATAATTTTGAAAATATTAAAATAGCACTTTAAATATGTGGCAGGTTTCCTATCACATAAAGTTTTAAATATTCATGAACAAAGCCTAGATGATCTATTCTTAGAGTAATTAGTATTCAATTTTGTTTTTAATTTGGTATTATCACATGGATGGCACTGGGAAAATACCTTTGTATTATATAGGCAAATGTCACTTTATTTCCAAGACAAGTTGCAATCCAAACTTTCTAAAATAAAGTTTACTGCATATGCTTGGCAATTATAATAAGGAAAAGATTATTAAAAACAGTCTTCTAACTTAAAAATCAAAAAATTATGCAAGTTTTAAAATATTAAATAATAAGTGTCCAGAATGCTTTTTATGTAAAATGGAATCAATCTTATGGCTGAAAAAACGAAAACATACAATTGAAATACAAAACTACTTAGTTATTCTGTACCTTTTCTTTAAACACCTAAGTGTCATTTCTCAATTAATATTGTTTGACAAAGAGTTATATATCACAATATCCAGTATTCATTTCACTGAAATGATAACTGCATAACGGTCTAAAAGTTTTGATCAAAAGGCATCTTTTATTTCTCCGAAATTCCTCTAAATCTAAATTAGTTTCTACTGATTCGAGGGGCAAGGAAGGAAAGAATTTTAAAATGCCAATAATATATTTCAGGGTAAACACAAAGGACTATAAATGTGAACAGAAAAATTTAGAAAAGTTCAATAAAAGAGAATGAAATAAGAAATCAGTAACAAACACTGATGAACTGAACGAACCCCAAGACATGGAGTTTTTGTACTTAACTCTACCGAGCATCTCCCATAATGGGACTTGTATTTTCATTTGCCTTCTTTCTCCCTCCCCTACTTATTATTTATGAGAAACTATGGGGGTTTCTTACCATGCATGGCATGTTTGGGGCCTGAGAAGAGTTTGACCAGGGCCCAGAAAGCATCTTCTTCATTCATGTACATAAGGAGCAAAGCTGTGATCTGGCTCATCCCCTGACAGTATCCAACTTCCTAAAGTGTAAATAAGAACAAAGAAATTGAGGATTTTAAGATCACATTACACGTTTATGCACGTATAAAAAACTGACCTATAAAATAATCAGAAAATGCTTAAACATATTATTTAGTAAGCAATTCTACAGAAAAATGTTATAAATCTTTACAGCATTGAGCCAGAAAAGAATAAAATGTGTTAAGAATTAATGTAGAGGTGTGGACAAAGTCTGAACCTACATGTGTTTTTTATTATCCCCTGTTCTATACTGTTATAACTTCTGTAAAGAGCGAATAGCTTTTCTTTTTTATGTACGATTCTTAGTTCAATCTGTCTCTTCTTCGCTTGCTGTCTTGTCTCCTAGAGATTTCTGGACTTATTCGTGGACGCTTCTAGGGACACCCATCTAGCCTATGTGCCATCTTTGAGAAGTGCCTACTCTCCCCACATTCTCTGCTTATAATGTGGTCTTAGGGATTCACGTTGGTGCCATGTGAACCAAAGCTGATGGAGCAGAGGAAGACACCTGACCCCAGGGAAACAACTAACTGGCTGCAGTGACTAGTCACACACTCTCTCCAGAAGAAAGCTGCAGAGACGGCAACCAGAGGGTGTGTACTGGAACAGAATGACCACGGTGACTCTGTGGGTACAGTCTTAGCCATGCAAAACCTGGTAAGCAGGCAAAGAAAGCGATTTGGAGAGAGGAATGGAATAAACCAGTTTACAGAGATCGTCAGAGCAGCATGTGGCTCCAGAGTGGAAGAGAGAAAAAGCGTAGACCTTTCTCACTGAAGGCTCAGTCTCTAGCTCCAATTCCCACCAGGCCCAACTCTTGCTTAATTTTTATGAGAAGTCCTTTTAATAAACTCATTTTTAACTTTCCCTAGTTTGAGAATTTCTGCCCCTTGTAACTTAAAGATTTGAATTACAATGGAAAGTAAATTTCCCAAGGTTCGAGGCTATCTTCCCTGAAACCTAGTCAACAAGCATTTATTGAACATCCAAATTAGGTTCAACCCTAATTCATCTTTCCCCAAATTATCGTCTGCCCCAGAATGATGAATATCTATGGAACAGCATGTTCCATCACCGGAAAGGTTAGCTTTAGCCTACTCTTTGGGACAGCACGTAGGCACAGGTCGTGTCCTAGCTAGACCTCACCAAGTGGATAAAATGTGATCCTGAGTCAAACAAAAATTAATCTAGCTACCAACTCCCTGTCCTTGCAGCCTTGCTCATTCTTAGTCCTGTTTGCTTAAAATAAAAACAAAATAACACAATAATAATAAAACAAACAGACTGGAAAAGGGGGGGGGCGGGGGAGTGGAGTGCTGTACTTTTTCCACCTCCAAATAAGCTCTGCTTTAAGACCCAGGGTTACCACCGATGCCTGGAAGAGATCCATAGAGCTCAAAGGGGCTGTCGAGACCGTCCAGCCCTGAGATGAAGAAGTGCAGCCCAAAGGGCCTTGTTAGAAAGGGAGTGCTGGAAGAGTCCACCAGGTTCTCAGAATACAACTTAAATAGCCGTGGGCAGGCATGCTCCAACTTACCGTGTTATAGATAGAATACGCAGCAAGAACATGGAACAGGGATTGCTGCCTAGAGAAAAGAAAATTGATATTGAATACAACTTAAGTTATACTGCACATTTTAAAAAATATAAACAAAATAATAGACAACGGGTTGACTGAAAACAAATCGATAATCCATATAAAATTACTATTAGAAAAAAGAAATGATCCGAAGCTCAAATTTAAACAATACTCTAGATGGTCTAAATTTATAATCCATATAAAATTACTATTAGAATAAAGAAATGATCCAAAGCTCAAATTTAAACAATTCTCTATATGGTCTAAATTTGAGGCTAGATAACATTCATTTTGATGGAAAGAATTTATACCAAAAAACATAAAGGGTCTCACAATTTCTTAAATTTGTTGCCCTCTTCTGTTGAGTTATTCTCACCATAAAATCATCCCCATAGGAGCGGCTTGATAAAATTATGGAATGGCTTTTTGAAGCCTGGTACAGGGCCAGCTAAGGGCAGCACCTTGCAGGGCTGGTCAGCGTCCTCCAGGAGGCTGTATATGCTCTAAGTCAGCCTCCTATACACACTACGTGTGTGTGTGTGTGTGTGTGTGTGTGTGTGTGTATACATGGTGCTGCCTTTCCCATAGCCAGGATCCAAGGAGTGGGAAGGGGAGAGCCTCCATCCACCATTATCCCTGGTATTCCACCAGAAAAATGTCTGTTTCCCTTCTCATCAACCTGGGACTCGCCACTGGTCTAAGAGGTCTTAGTTTTAAAGAGAGGTATGCTCGCACCAGGAGATACAACAGTGACTCTACAGAACTTGAAGCCGCTGCCTCTCCCATAGCCAGGATCCAAGGAGTGGGAAGGGGAGAGCCTCCATCCACCATTATCCCTGGTATTCCACCAGAAAAATGTCTGTTTCCCTTCTCATCAACCTGGGACTCGCCACTGGTCTAAGAGGTCTTAGTTTTAAAGAGAGGTATGCTCGCACCAGGAGATACAACAGTGACTCTACAGAACTTGAAGCCGCTCTGGGTTGCTCATGCCTCTGAATCAATAGGCAAAGAAGGAGGTGACTGTACTGATTAACGTGACTAATCCTCATTACTAAGGAGAAACTGAGTCGCTACTACACAATGGACATAAGGAAAAGTATGTCTAAAATACAGGAGAACATTTAGGGTGCCTCGTAGCATTACCAAGCCCTGTGATTAAAGTCAATGTAAAACTATGACAACAACCTAATGGTCCTGACCCTTTAGGAATACAGGCTTAGGTCACCCCACCAGGTAAATAATCAAAACCAGCTGAGGTGCTTGCTGAGGGCAAAGGGCATATGGAATGGGTCATGGAAAGGGAGTGATAAACCAGCTATGGCCACATGCCCTGTTGCAGAAATGATGACTCTAAATGTCATGAGTGTTTCTTCCTTACTTTGGTATATGTGTATGTTAAAAATATTTAGTTTTCTTCCTTCTCTTTACTTTTATCATCTTACATAAGTTATATTAATAATAATTAACTTTATATTAAGTAATTATGTTGTAGAATATCAAAGCAGAAGAGTGAACATCACCCAAGGATTTTGTATCCCTCTGTGGGGAAGGGGTTAACACATTTTAAGAACAGCTGTAGCAAGTTGTATGGAAGTATGACTTTGTTATTCTTTAGAAATTAAACAGCCAAGGGTGGATTGTGATGGTCAGTTTCACATGTCAACCTTTCTCGGCTACAATACTCAGTTATCCAAACACAAATCTAGGTCTTGCTGTAAAGAAGGTCCTTTGCAGATGTGACTAAAACCCTTCATCAGCTGACTTTAGGGGAGACCATCCTAGACAATCTGGGTAGGCCTGATTTGGTTACAGGCTGTAAACGCAGGTCTGCAACTCCTCTGAGGAAGGAATTCCTCTAGTGGATGACAGCTTCAGGTCATGCCCGAGGGTCTCAGCCTGCCCTTCCTGTTAGCCTGCCCTGCGGATCCAGACTTGCCAAGTCAGCCTCCACAATCGTGTAAGCCAATTCTTCAAAATAATTCTTAACATTTGCCTCTTACTGGTTTGTTTCTCTGGTTAGACCTTAACCAATACAGAGGTCAGCAAAACTGTACCTTTCATTCATAAACTGTTGTAGTCATTTCATTCATTCATTCATCCCCGCATTTTTCAGTTTCATCATGCATAGGGTCAAGGTCATAGGGATATACTTATCTCTGACATGGTTCTCAAAAAGCAACACAACCTCTCGTTTCTTTTCTGACACTTTAAATAAAATCTACCATATTTTTACAAATTTCCAAATCATAAAATGATTCTCAGTTTTACAGCACCAACTCTGTAATAAATTTAAATTAAAGTAGGACCAAAGTTTCACATGACCTAGAACAATTGATCTGCAAAAGCTTAAACCTTTAGGACCAGAATCAAAATTGTAGTCTATACAAGACATTCTAAATGCCCACATTTTAAGCTAATGAAGACTTTGATATAAACTATTTATAAATGCTATTTACATTGCATAAATATTAAATTTTACTTACTTAACACCGTATCTGTCTCTAAACATAATATGGTCCCTAAATGTGCGGTTGACGTCAAGGTCTATTTGTCTGATATCAGGTGAACAACCCCGTGCTCTGTGTTTTAATTTCTGAAGAGGAAAAAGAGGAGAAGAAAGCACATTTGTATGGAAATCAGCTGTTGAAAAGTCTATGACAAATAGTAAAATAATTCTCATTGAAAAGGTTCCTTTGGTTTAGGAAAATCACTCCCACGGTTCGAACATGAAAATAATACAATAAGGCCCACGATGAAAAGTGTCTCTCCCACCTGCACCCCATTTCTCCTCTTCCCATGGTCTCCCTCTTCCCATCACTGCTTCTCGCCCTTATCCTGTCACAGAAGTAGATTTCCATTTTGCACAGAGAACTTGCTGGAGTCTGCATTGCGAAGACCATGCAAAACTTCACAGCTGCGCCACACACTCTAGTATTTCTTTTTTCTTTCCAGCACAATGTTTTTGTTTTCCTTGGAGCTAATCACTGCATTATTTCTTGATTTCTTTGTTTTCGACATAGTTGTCACTAATTCAATCGCGAACTCACTTTAAGTTGCATAAAGCTCCTCTGGCGATGTTCAAATAAAAGGAGTATTCTCCCAATTTCAGCATCCTGCAGACATCACTCCCACAGCTCTCCGACTTGCTCTGGCTGGGCTGCCGTACAGCTGGTGTCTTGGGCTCTCCCTTCGTCATATGCTAGGCCTCCCTTCGCCTTGGTCCCATTTCCTGCACTTCACGCCTCTTCTTTCCTGATTTATTCCCTTGTTCTGGAGGAGCACATCCTCCAGTAGCTCCTGTGAAAGGGTGCATGGAAGATACATTTTTCAAACTTTGAATGTCGGACAGCTACCTTCTTTCTTAACTGGCTATTTTCAATTCTAAGTTGGAAAATATTTTGGGTCAAAGTGCACTGCCTTCATTGTCTTCTAGCTTCCAGAGCTGCTATTCTTTCTATTCTTGCTTTTTTATATGAAGTCTGTTTTTTCTCTCTAGAAACTTGTAGGAGTTTCTTTCTCCACGTCTGAAGCTTCACATTTCTATGCTTGGTTTGGATCTATTTTTATCCACAAGGTTGGGCATTAAATGGATCTTTTCAATCTTAAAAATTCATACATCTCTCAGTTCTGAGAAATTTTCTTCAATAATTCCTTTGTTGATTTCTCCAGTCTTCCCCTCATCCTGCCCCATTTTCTCTTTCCGAAATGCTTATTATTACAGTGTAGGATCTCCTGGCTGTCATTTAATTGTCTTATATTTTCTGTATTATTTTCCATCTCTTTAACTTTATAATCTACTTTCTGGGAAATTTCTTCAATTTTTATTTTCAAAACATCCTCTAGGATCTTTCATTTTTATTATCATTTTTATATTCATATGCTCTTTATTCTTCTTTATGGCAGTCTATACATGTTTTATGGATGCAATATCTATTTTTATCCCTCTGAAGATATTAGTGATAGTTTTTTGTGTTTGTTTTCTTCTTATACTATAGTCTGTTTCTTACAAGTTGTTTTTTCCATTTGTTCTTGTCTCTCATGTTAGCTCCTTGCCTCAAAGGAACAGATATTTCATTGTCTGCTTACATTTAAAAGCAGGACACTAAAAAGGTATAGAAAGCTCTATGTGCAGAGGCAGGGCTTCAAACTGTGTCTTCACTGGCCAGGCAATTTCAGTGGGGCTCCCCTGAAGTCAGCATCATTGGGTTTATTTTCTTTGGCTGGTCAGACTCCCCAGAGAAGGCTCTTCTGATCTCCTGTCAGGAAGACAAGCACCTGGCTGCTGATGTTCTGGGAGCTGAGTGGAGGCTGCAATACCCAAAACTCAGCATACTCAGCTCCCCCTCAGCTGCTCCGTGCATTTATTCCAGCATCCCCTCCGCGGCCACCTTGTGTCCTCTCCACCCAGGCCCCCACTTCGCCCTCTTCGAACAGTAATCCTCCAGCTTCCTGCCAGGGTGGGGAGGGGCTTGGTGGCTCCAACTGCTTCTGCAACAGGTGAACCGCTTCTATTGTTTTTACCTTCACCTCCAGTTCCAGGGGTGCCTGGAACAGGCAATGATCAAACCTCTTAGAGACTCTGATATATAAATCAGGTGCTTCCCCAATTTCTCACTGCTAGCCTATGATTAGTTTTCTCGGGTTCAGTAAGATTACTAAATGTCTGGATTCTGCTTTCCAAAAATTGGCAGCTGTTATCACAACTCCTATTTTCTATTCCTTGTGAGTTTTCCTTTTAAAACACACTGTGCTGTCAATTTGGTGACATTTCAGAGGGAAGGGGTCACTAAATGAGTATGTTTAATCTCTCATGTTTAACCAAACAGGAGATTAAAATTTATATTAATTTACAGTCAACAATGCTTAAGTATAATTAAGCATATGTTCTATTGACTCGTTTACCATGTGCTGGTAATATACATTTCTGCTAAAATCAATTCCAAAAAAATATATATATAAAGACATAACTGTTAATTCCTGACTTAAGCTAAAAGTGAAAAAGAGAGGGCTATCTGGGCTATGCGCAAATGTTAAGTATTCTGTGAGCTTGTGTATTTTTTTTTGAGGTCGAGCTCAGAGAAGGGCAGCTGCTGTGGCGTTTTAAGACATAAACAGTAAGCACAGTACACTTCAGAGTTCCGAAGACAGAGGAAGACACTTACAGTGTTGTACTGGAATCCTACGACCACTGAAATATTATTGTATGCTATTTCTGATATATATTGGTCCAGAAGACATTACAAAAATTTAACTTTAAAAATAATCATCTTTATATATTTGTTCTTTAAATACCTGGAGGGAAAAGTAATGGGAAAGTAAAAAGGATCAATTATTGTTCTACAGGCCTCCTGGTGAAAGATGTCAAAACGCAGAAAAGAAATGTTTGACAATACATAAAATATGATTTAAAATAAAATTTAGTTGAAAGGAAGAAAAATACCCAAACGCATCTATAATATCGATTTCTCTCGAAGACAAAAATATCTGACATAAAAAAATCTCATGACAGAAACAAAGTCCAGTTAAGTCGGTAAAAACATAATAGGTCAGAAAGGTTATTTATGCCCTAGAATGTTTACCAGTTAATGTGCAGAATATAAAAGTCAAGACTATTTCTGATCTTACTGAAAGGAGATTAGCAGCTTCCACAGTTATCGCTGAGATTGGGTGGGTTGAGATCCATGAGTGTCACAATAAAAATAACTTATTTAAAAGAAATAGGATCTAATGAGCCTATAAAGCTGAGGGCAAAAGTACTGCGGAAAGCATTTAGATGAAATTTAGCACTGCGGGTTTGACCTGCAAGGTTATTCACCCCACTCAGGCTGCAGATGAGGTTGCTGAACACTGTGGGCTGAACCTCCGCCATCTGTATGATACATCACAAGGCGCGAGAGAGACAGACCACAATGAGATACATGTGAAAGAAGAGGAGAGCCGCGAAGAACAGATGAGGACGCAGGACAATCTGATGATCCGCGAAACAAGTTAGCAGATTCAGCAAAGGTAGCTTTATTCCTACTAAATTTTTAACTTGAGGGGAGCAATTTATACCACTTTTACAAAGGAAGAGCAAGAAAGTGTGACCAAAAGAGAATGATTTGGTTAAATAATGATGCTAGGGTAAACTGAAATAGCAAAAATAATGTTTATGATAGTGTTGAAAATTACAAGCTTGAAAGTCTTGGTAGACAGGTAATTTCTCTTACTATTCTTAATGTATAATTGTTTTTTACTAAATGGTTCTCTCTTATTAACCAGTAACTGGAAAAAGTCGTATTCTATGTAGAAAAAGCCTAAAATATAGCAGAAAACCAGAGTCCTAATATTAGCATGTATACTGGGCTGAACAGTCTCTGTCTAAAATTCATGTTTACCCAGAACCTATGACTATGACCTGATTTGGAAAGAGAGTCTTTGCAGATGTAATCAAATTAAGATGAGGTCATGCTGGATGAGGGTGGACCCTAAATCCACTGACAGGTGTCCTTGTAAGGCAAGATACAGACACATGCAGACACACACAGGGAAGAAGGCCATGTGAAGATGGAGGCAGAAATCAGAGTGATGCAGCTCCAAGCCAAGGAGCACCAAGGACTGCTGCCAAACACTGGAATGCAGGAAGAGTCAAGGAAGGATTCTCCCATGGAGCCCTGAGAGAAAGCCTGGTCCTGCTGACACCTTAATTTCAGACTCTAACCTCCACAACTGTGAGAGAATAAATTTCCATTGTTTTAAGCCACTCAGTTTGTGGTACTTTGTTATATCAGCACTAGGAAATGAATACGGCATGCTAAATAAAAGTAATTTACTTGTTTTATTAAACAAATATTTACTGAGTGCCTACCACTTGCCAGGCACACTTATGAGTCGCTGGGGTTACACTTTATATATGCTCTCTCAGACATCATTGTCAACACTGGCTGTACAACTATGACACTAAAAGCAAATATTTAATCAACAGTCTAAAATAATTTGAAACTCTAAAATCTTGAGATGGAAACTCATAGTCTGTGTAGGGTCCAATCAGCTAACTTAAAAAATATTCTAGTCATACAAAATGAGAAATTCTTTAAATTAAGCAGTATTTATTACCTTTCATCCTGATGAAATTTTACTTACATATATGAGAAAGAAAAGAAAATATCAAAAGAGAATCCCACAGCCCCTTTTATATTTAAAATTGGGTTTAAATTATAAACATTTTTTCTATTTATTCTATTTTAGTCTATCTATATACATTTCTGAGGAATGTATTTAAAATGATTTTTGATATGTTTCTTACTCCTTTCAAAACTTAATATAAAATTTAAGTTTAGAAGGGGTATAGCTGAGATGACAAAGAAGTAAATTTAATACATTAGCTAATTTAAGGAACACATTACTAATCTCTTATCCACAATTTAACTTTTTATTAACAAATGATAAAACCTAGAGATACCCCGATAAACATTCCTCTTTTTCATACTTAGAAGAAAACAGTCAATCATATACGGGCAGTTGTTGGATAAACTGAATTCTGCTATTATTTTCACATAAACTCTAAAAATGACACTGTAAATCTCTTTATTAATACTACATTGCAAACGAGCAGCTACAGTTAGGTCTTAGTTGATTTTTCTTACGAATATGTCCCAACATTGATTGATCGTTTCAAGTATTTGAAAAGCACTTGATATTTATTGATTGATACAGAAAATAACATTTTCACTGAAGTATTTGTTTGAAATTTAGGAAGTAGGCCGCAATAAACAAAACAATCAAGAAAACAGAAAACAAGCCTATGAAACCCAATGTAATATCATTTTAATATAATTTCAAATAATGATATGAATATCTTACATCACCTTGAAAGCTAAAAGAAATAGATTTTACTTTTCAATTTCAAAATAACAGGTTGGCTTCAGGTACTCACACTGTAAAGGTCTCTTGTTTCTTCTTTCATTTTAGGGATCTCAAGGAGCATAGACCAGACCTCACCGCGGAGCTGGAGTGGGATCCCTTTGTAGATTCTCCTATGAAACTTATTAAAAGTAACATGAATTGAAGTTACAAAGACAAAAGCTTAGACGAGTCCTTTAAATCAAACTAATAGTTATTACTCTTTTATTTTCAAAGTATCCATGATAATTAATTGACACATTTTAACATGGCACATGTTGATCTTATCATCTCTACTTTTCAGATCCTAATGGGGGAGACATATAGGCAGAACAGGTAAAATAAACAAGAGAAAATGTTAAATATACCTAGTACAATAGTATTTTCATATCATTACAAAGGTGTTCCCTAAGTGGCATGAAAGCATAGTAAGTGCTCTTTTTAAGTTGTGAACATCTAATTTACATATTCTCTGTTGAATAATTAACTGTTGCACACTTTTTTTCCTTTTAATCCATATACCTAAAAGGCTCTAAATAGCAAAAGGTTGCCTTGTGCCAAAGGCATCTTCATGAAGTGTCGAGAGTGCTACCTAACCCCTACTCTCTTTCCTCCCACCCTCTCTCTGGGGCTTTCCAGACACAGCAAGCTCCTGCCTTATAATCTCTCTTAATTCCAGCCACTATCTGCAGTTTTTCTCATTCTCTCCCTCTCTCTCTCCCTCTCTCTCCCCTTCCCTCTCTCCCTCCCTCCCTCCTCTCTTTCTTAATGACACCAATCCTATCTGATCAAACAAAAATAGTGATAAATCTCCATCAAGAAGGTATACCATCACTTTTGAATGAAATTAGCCATAACACATTAGTATCATCAACTCTTTGGATACCTGAACGTATACTGCTAATGCTCTATGGATCTAAAGACTCGATATACTTCTCTAATTTCTTGTAACTATATCTTTTTCCTCAAGGCTCATTACACGTAATAACACACAAACCTATTATGGTCAATACAAAGTCTGAACAACAAAACTTCAAAACTTAAAAGTAGATGTCCGAACAGGAAAATGATTAAACAAATTATGGCAGAAACCTTAAGGAGTGAGAGAAAGATAGGTATACTAATTACCTTATGATCCAAATTATATATTTAAGTAGTATGGCTAAGAAAAATAGGATGCAAGTTCTAATAACTGAAATGTTGGCATGCTATGAACTAGTAAGCAGAGCTTCATCTTCAACGAGAGTATTCAGATTTTTAAAAACTAAAGCTTTCGTAACTCAGTCATGATGCAGCTTGAGAAACTGACTGTGTGGTTTAAAATGAGTGACGCTGCAGAGCAGCTTTTATCGTGAAACAGAGAGCACTGTGAGGGTGATCCGATCCTATAATTACACACCTAATTTCAGTTTTGTTCTTTTGGTATAAACATAATACGTCTCAAATTTAAAACTTTAGCAGATAGTGATGAAAATCATAGAAGTTTAACTCAAACAGCAGCTCTAACTGGAAGAATACAGAGAAAAACTTTGTGTAAACTAGACTCTGCCACTTATAACATTTCCCACATGCTAAACATTTACTACCATTATTTGCAAACTAGGTGTGGTAAAAAAGCTAGTAATTTATTATCCTAAATTCTATATTCACATCAAAACTATAATAAACTACTTTTTAAAGGAATATCATCCTCTAAAAGTAACTTCAAATTATCTCTTAAATTACTAGAGTGAAGATGCTACACTGTAAGCATCTGATATGAATATCAGAAAGTGTGGAAATTACTGTAAATGTCAAAGCGAAATTTTAATAGTCAAGTAGAATATGATGGCAGGCACACAGATTAACTTTGATGGACCTGACTCTCCATCAACCTGATATCTCTCAATGAGTAAAACAAGAGCTCTGACATGTATCTGTTAAACTATATCACTTTAAAAGACTTTTGACATTACTTTATTGCTTTCATTCAATTCTGCATTCAACGACTGTCCATAAATTACTGTCCATTATTTATCCTAAAGTTGAATTTAGATTTAGAAAAAGCAAAAACCCCATCAAATTGTCATGATTAACTAGAAGAAATAATAGAGAAATTTCAGGTAGAAATAAAAAATTTATGGCCCCAGTGCTGCTCCGAGACCAAAGTGGAAAATCAGGCACATACAGTAAAGGCTGAAAAAGGAACATGGATATCGTCGCCATCATCCCCAACACTAACAATTAGAATCAACTTTCACTGAGCATTTACTATGTGCAGAAAACAGTTTTAAGGTACTAACAGATGTTTATCTCATTTAATCATACCAACAACTCTATGAGATGTTATCCCAATTTTATAGACATGGGAAGTGAATCACAGAGAGGTAGAATGACTTGTCAAAAGTCACACATAAGGAATTACCAGTGAGTAAAAGATATTAATTTTACATTTTATAAAAAACAAAGACTATCTTTCCAAGACCATGATGCATATATTATCTATTGTTCTGTTCAATTAGACTTACTAAAATACATCTAACAAGAAAATATCAAGGAAATCCAAGAGCAGAAAGCATTAAAATAATAGTAAAATTGTACCTAAAACTTAAAAGTAATATTAAAAAGGATGAATCTGGAATTCAATCTGTCAGAGGTAATGAAATGAAACATGTACACAAAGGTACATACAGAAGAAAAGAATTAAATTATGAGACCCTAAAATAAGAATTTTAAGTTACGCTTATTGTTTTTCAAATACTTGTGCTGTTACATGGCGGGCTAACTTACTATGGTAACATATCTTTCCTCAGAGATTTCCAACTATTGTAGAAATTCTGGAAATTTGGTACAACAAAGTAGGAATTATATTGAAGCACACAGTTATAATAAATTTGCTATTCTCCAGAATGGTAGTCTAGTATATATTTATTAAGAATCTTCCAATTAACAAAGTAGTATGTCCTATTTTCTAAGACTCGCGAAGCTAAGGCACAGAGAAGTGGCTGTTGGTTAGGTCAAAGAATGCCATCTTCTTATTCCTACTTTCTGCTAATCGCACTGCCTCCTAGAGATGATGGCTTTATCAAAGCAGCAGAATTTATCAGTAGAAGGTGAAACTAGTTGTCCCAACTCATAAACGAGTATCATTCATTCATTCATTCACTCTAAAAAGAAACTTAGAAATGACTGCTTTGTAGCCAACACTTGCTGGGTACTGTGGTCGCAAACGAAAAGCTCTGCGGTGCTCATAGTGTTGGGGGGAGGGGGGCAGATACGCACATAAGCAGATAATTACAGCGTGAACAGATACCCTTCACAATAAATAAAGTCACACTAGCTGCTACCGTGATGGGTGAAGCCCTGATGGAGACAAGACATCCCAGAGGTGGGCCAGGGTAGTAAAAGGAAAATGACAGGCACTGCACTGTCGAGATCTGCAGAGTGACGTCAAGGGACAGCTAGGTTCCAAGACGGAACCAGAAAAAGTTTAGGCATAAAGGTGTTGGGGATAAGGGCAGTGAATCCACCCTGGTGGTCATTTTTTGTTGGTCTAACACAGAGACCCTCATCCTGAGACCATATTAGAGATACTATGATAGTGGAAGGAAGAAGTGAATTCTGCACGACAGTTAGGAAAGATTTCTTTCTGAGAAGATGACAACAAACCGAATACTGAAGGATACACAGGATTTGCCAGGAAAAGGAAACAAAGGTGGAATGAGGGTGAAGATAATGATGAACCAAACAGTAATAACAATGTTAATAACAACAATTATGTTTACATTTTCTAATTATAGAAGCCCACAGATCTGTTTCTAGATCAATTTATTCCTTGTAATATTATTACATTCCTAAAAAGGTAGGTACTATTATCAACATTCCATTTCATGGATGAGAAAATCAAGATGTAGAAAGGTTAAGTCACTAGCTCAAAGCCTACAACTAATAAACTGTGGAAGAAGAGAAATTCAGTTAGTCGGACTTCAGAGACCTTGGTCTTAACAACCATGATACAGAACTATTATATGTTGGATTTTAACAATGTTTTAATATTCCAATTTGAAAAGTATCACCTTTAAAATTCTGTTACAATTTTATGAATATGATAATAAAATCTTTAGGAAAAAATTAAAAAGGTTGCCTGAAATCTATTTTTATTTCCAGTATCTTTGTTCACTTGCCAATGAAATCAGCAGTCTATTTCAGTCACACAGACACATTTAAAAATCCATCAACTAAAAGAAAAAAGAATTCCATTAACTGACCTAATGTTTTCAATACCTCTTTCCAACCTGAGTGATTCTGAAACAGTGGTAAGTGTAAGTGTGCCAGTCTACATCATCATGGCTGCCAGCGAGTTAACTTGTCGGCCCAGTGAGTCCGGCTCAATTCTGTGGGACTTTCACAACACCAGGGCACACCGTGAAACACAAGTTCACTCTCTGCATTGCTGATGCTCCTGACTGCCTCCCCATTTTCTTTAAGCATCCCTGATCCACTGGCTCCTTCATCTCTGCCTCCAAATAGACAAGAGACTCCTGAGTTGGATCTAAAAAAGTTTTAAACCATCCACAGGCCCTCCTGCCTCTTATAACTGCATTCTATTTCCCTCCGGCCTTTTATTGACAAACACCAAAAGGGAAGGCTAGCGTAAAAGACGGTCCAGTGAATGAGCCCTGGAATCTAGACACAGGATCTCTTGCTTGTCACTAACCTGTGTGACTTTTAAAATTTTATTTCTAAATGTGATGCTTCCATTTCCTGTCAGTAAAATAAAAAGTTAGCTAATATGAGTCCATTCGTTATTTAACCAAAAAAGGTCCACCAAGAAAAAAATGTATATCTGTAGTAGATACTCTGCTGTGACACAGCTCAGGCACAATTACATCTTGATTAGTTAAATCATATCCACTTAACAGAGATAACTTCATTTAATCAACTATGTTTTAAAAATGCGATACACCGTACATAGGGCAGTCACTGTGAGAACACAGATAAGACAAACAGCCTTAATGGAAACTTTTTTTTTCAGTAAAGCTTGTATATTCTAAAAATCCAAATATTCTTTATGAGGGCTATATTTTTATTTCAAGATATTTCTAGAAATTTCTTTGTATTACTACTAGGTAAGTATGGAATCTGTGGAGAGAAAACTTATACCACCTCCTCTTAAGAGACAAGAAAAATACATGCCACTTTTTTACTTCAATGCAATTTAAAACTAGGTAAGATTTGAAAGCAACAATTCTTTTGTGAGGTGCATTCTGTTTCACATCAAATTGGAGCACCTATATCATCCAATAATTCTAGCATTACAGTTGTGGGAAAGTGCCTTAAAATTATACATCAAAGAAATGGTTCTGTTAAAACCTCTCTTGCTGGGAGCTACATTAGCCAGAGCTGCTGTGCAGAATAACAGCCTAGCAGAATGGCTCATTTCACAGAGACTTACATGCTATCATAGATATGTGTACACTAGACAAGAACATAAAGCCACAGAACTCTACAAATATTTTATTAGGCTGAATGTGAGATGAAGTGTGGGTGCGATGCACTCAAATTTGCCCTGTAATTACCACGTGAGTGATCTTTCCACAAAGACAGAAGGTAAAGTGGTTGTCAGCTGCAGGCCAGTCTGAGAGACAACAGAATGTGAAACAAGAGCACAGGTGTAACTAACGTTCTTCTTTAAACCGATTCATCTTTAAAACATCTTGACTTCCAATGTAATGCTAAAACACACGGATAATAAAATTAGCAACAAAAAAATGAACTCACTCCTGATGAAAATAAAATAAGAGTCTAACAGACTTTAAATAAGGATACTTAGGATGCTCACAGAGAAAAGTGATATTAGTCCTGTGACATACCCCATGACAGAAAGATTTCCACGGTTCAGTAAGTTCCATGCAATTTAAGGCCCCTCTTAAAAATCCCTGCCACACGTTATACTATTTAAGACTCTCCGGAACCCTGTAGCAAAGAAACCTTGCTTAACTATTATTAGCTCTGGTTTTCCCATTTGTACTTAACCAGAGAGCCCTTTCCTCATATAATAAAAAGCAACATTTACTGACTGAATACTAACGGTCAGGCACTATTCTATGTGCTTTACATGAATTAACATTTAATCCTCAAAACAACTCTGGGGGGTAGGTGCTATTATTATCATCCATATTTTACAGATGAGCAAACTAAGCCAGAAAAAAAGGTAAAATACCTTCCCCCAGGTCACACATCTAGTAAAGTGGCAGAGCTAGGGACTGAACCCAGGACAGTCGGTCCAGCATCAGTTGTTTAGCCATTAGGCAATTCTGCTTCTATGTAATAACGCTAGAATTTAATGAACTGATTTCTTTCCCTGGAATTCTTAATGGCAAATGCTGACATACAATTTATACGTAAAAAAGAAAAAAATATTACACTCACAAAAAAGTGTGAGGAAATAGAAATCCTACCAGTTAACCCAGTTGTGTTTTGCGGTAGAATTATGGGAGGATATCTTTCTTAAAATATTTTTATTGTCTAATCTCCCTTCAAAAAAACGATGGCAGCAGCTAACACTTACTGAATGCTTTTTATCCGCAAAGTGCGTACTGAGTGCTTTACATGCATTAGTCCATTCGCTCTTCCTCCCTTTGAAATGGGTATGATTATACACTTTTTATAGATGAGGAAACTGAAGCTTAAATGTCAGCAGTTCTCGAAGCATGTTCTATGAGGTCAAAGCTGTTCTCATAATACTGCTAAGATGCTGGCTGTCTTTTTCACTATGCTGACTTCTGCACGGACAGCAGAAAAACAATGGCCATAAAACTGGGCACTTGAGTCAAACCACGGTAGTGGTGGTGCTGTGCTAGTGGCCCCTGCACTCTTCACGCTCGGTCTGAAACATCAGTTTAAGATGAAGCAGGAGGTTCCATTTTATAAACTCTCAGCTCTCAAATGCATGTCTTATTGACATGCCGAGTGACGGCAGGCGCCATACGCACGGAGCGCTTTGCTGCGTGCCCAAGCACAGTGCTGGCCTCAAGAAAAAGCATTTATGAAATTGTTTGAATCATGATCCCAACCAACCCCTTTTTCAAGGAACACCTTATCACTTGAAAGAATGACTGATTAACTAACTATGGTTGTTCAGATATGGGTGTTTAACATTTTCTCAAAAATAAATGAAGTAAGACTGTCTCTTTAAGAAAATCACTGATAGCATTTGGTGCTACTGACAATATCAGTAGCACCTTTCAAGAAAAAAATCAGAATTTTGGAAAACCTCCACAGTTCATGAACTTCATGAACTTCACAGTTAACCAATATTTGAAGACTTTTCTGATGAGATTGGTGGTGATATTAATACATGTGTGTGTGTGTGTTTTTTTTAATTGATTTAAAACTAAGCACAAACTCAAAGCAGGGCAAAAAGATTTAAGGAGAGGTTTGCTAGAAGCTTCTGGAAAAGGAGACTGTTCCTGCTTCAAGGAGCAGTGTGACACATGAAGATGAAGCCTGGAACTACTGCAATGACTTTGATTCCAAAGGGAAGCAAGCCACCCTCAAGGTGAAGCTGACACTGCAGAAGGCAAAGAAGAGAGGTGGAAAGTTTGAAATTGAGTCACAGGCAACGTAACTGAGCAGCTGAATTAAATCACTTCTGAAACCCATCCTACCTCTGGACCACCCAATACATCCTCTTAATTTTTGAAACCAATTTAAACTGGATATTCTGTTATAACACAAAGACTCCAAATTTGAGGCATTCCACTCAATTAAAGTTCTTTTTTAAAAAAAGAGTATGAAAGTAATACTCATAAAGAGAAATTTTTACTGGGAAAATCTACATTGAACTTGTATAGTTTCATTAGGAAGTAACATTATTTTTAATTACCTTTTCAGTGTTCTTGTATTTTTCCCATCCTTTTAGCATTTTCAACCATTTAGTAGTTCTTTCAATTTCCAGGTGCTTTTGCTAAAATAAAATGAAAATTCATTGTTACTGTTTGTTCGTCAAGGCTTCATTATTTACAAATTACAAAAATATGTCAAAGAAAATGCTGCTAAAAAAAGGACTATGAAAAAGGTTATGCTATATTAGATAGCAAATATCCTATCTAACTTTTTAAAAGTTCAATAATTTTATTTTTGTATCAATAGCATTCCGTAGCTAAAGTTAAGATATATAGGGGCACTCCACTGGGATAGGTAAAGAGAAAAGAATTGTTTAAATTTTCCAACACATTTAAACTAATCACTGAAATTTAAGCCGAAAGGAAATTTTAAAATATTTTAAAATGTCTTTTATGAAGCAACAAAAACACAACTTCAAAATTACATTCTCTTTTACCCACATTTTACTGAATCCTTTCATCTTAATGTTTTCAGTGACAGAGTTGGGTATTTTTAAAAAGGAGAATTGGGCATTTATTGATTTGTGGAGTGATTAATATATAATTAGCATTATGCCACTGAAAAATTATACAAAAATAAGTAATAGTTGCTGCCCTAAAAAGAAAGTTCACCATTTGCTAAGGAAAACTGACATGGAAATTACAGCATGGTGACACGTGCTACGACATAGGAACAGACAGGGTCATGGTGGAAGAAGTCAAATCCACCAAGGATGTCAGGGGAGATGAGCCCCATGTGAAGAACTGAAGATTTCTATCCAGTGGGAAAGAATGTGGGAAAGAATATTCTAAGACGCATAGGTAGATAATTCAGCACTGTAAAGGGCTAAAAAAAACAGTATCAGATGAGGCTGAAAACATCTTGTATGTCACAATACCTTGGGATTTGGGCAAAGCTGGGGAACTGTAGGGAGCTACAGAAAATGCTCCCTCCTCACTTCTTTGGTTGCTAGGAGAGGGATATTGTCCTCTCAAGGAACTGGACCTGCTGTCCAATATCTCACTCTCTCCTAAGGTGAGAGAGTGACTTACATGACTAGCATATTTAGAAAGAGAACTGGGCATATGGCCCTCGGTCTCTTTTCTTGGGAGCCCGACAACTCTCAGAAAGCACATTTGTAACTCTGTCCTTTCAGGCAAGAAAAAACACCCTGCTCAGCCAAGAAGTCTGTGGTGACCTCTGCCCGTGACCAGGTAAGTCTGTCTCCTTCCGGGGTTCACGCCAGGTTGCCCACGGCTGCTGCCCACCTAACCCACATTCTCCCCTAACTACTCCGCTCCATCCGGAATGGCTAGGATGTGCGCATTTCCCTACTGCCCTGAACAGTCCTGGGCACAGAGGAGGCATCTAGTTAATGATTTCATTTTCATGAGAACAAAACCCAGCATAATTTGTTCTTATAAGTGAGCTGACGTTCTGCTATTTGTTAATTCTCCTCAATCCTCACATTTTCTTTTCTGGAGGCCTCTGTAAGTGTAATAAGCATCCGAATAAAACGCAGTGGAAACAGAAGACTACATAGGAAAGAAAATTCTTCTGAGGAAATCTTTTATGCTCAAAATGTATAGTCACTACAACCCTATGAAGTACATACAGACATCCTTATTTTACAGATAAGGAAACAGAGGTAAAAAGGGGTTAAGTGACTTGCCCAAATTCCCCTATCCAGTAAGTTCAAGTTTGAAGAGGGGTTCAAAGCTTTAAGACCCACACTCTGAGCCCCTTATCTTATGCCTTTTGTCTCCACCACGTCCCTGCTCTAGTTGAGGCAAACACTTTTCTGGATGAAAGCAGTCGCTCCTTACTATCTTCAGTCCAGCCTCAAACAGGCAGATGATATGCCCATCATCAATATTTTTTAGATTTAAAAGAGGTGTAAAATCTCAAAGAAAACTCTGAATTTAGGAAAGGATTCCACCAATAAAAAAATTTTTACAGAATTTTATTTTTAGGCATATTCTTAAAACTCTTTTTAATTACTTCTTAACTCTTTATAAAAATTTTGCTGGGGTTTTCATAATAAATGATCGCTCGTGAGCAAAAGATATTCTGTTATAGTTCTCATTTTTCAAAAGACTAAGCATATTCTTCAGCATATTATTAGTGATAAAATGTTGCAGATGGTTCCAGAAATATGTTTAATTTTAAAACTCAGTAGGGCACTGAAATCTAATTAATGTTCTTGCTAAATGTGACTTCAGAGAAGGCCAAGCTATGAAAAATTAAGATTGATCTAAGCTGCAATTTGGTGGGGGTTTTTTTTTTCTCGTTTTTCTGCACTTCCTCCCTTGACTTCTTGAAAGCATAATCCTTTTCTCCACCAACAGGAAAGAATCAAATAATTCAAGCCAACCCACGAGTATAACAATATACACTTTGCCATGAACAGCCCTGCTGAGATCTAGCCTAGGTCTCGCTACCTTTCATTTTTATGATTATGAATTATCAGTTAATCACTTTAAGAAGTAGTTATTCTCTTTTGTAATGGCACACTTTGGTATTCTAATGCTTATCATATATATAAATTATTTTAAATGCTACAAATTCTCACATGTGAAGACAAAACACACACACACAATTTTAAGAATCATTATGTATGCTGTTCTTTCCCCTATAGCAAAAAACAAAAATGGTACACTTGGGAAAAACTCCCAGGCCACAGATTTTAAAAATTATCTATCAGTAGCTTAATCAGGTTTAAATGTTAACTCCATGATACCATCTGCTCATCTATACAAGACTTGAATGCATATTAATGTCTTTTCCCCCTGACTTATGAATCTATTATAATTCATGGATAAAATATACTTTATCACCAAACATGCTACAGTTGACTATTTTAGAACTTATTCTAACACAAGAAGTAACTGAAAACACATGCAATAAATGTGAACTTAAGTGCTCTAGAAAAACAGGTTAAGGAAATCATCTTGCCATCAACTCAATAACGCCAACACAAACTAGAATACAACAGCCAAGTTAGAATTTCAAACCACAAGTTTCAACAAACTCAGCATATCCAAAACCATCTCCCTAACCATGCTACTATTATCCTTCTCTTCCCTAACACAAATCAACAGCATCACAGCCCACTAAGTCAATACAACTAGAACCTTCAGTTGTTTCCAGTCTTCATTTTATCTTCCTTCTCATATCCAAAGTACATTCTGCTGGTCCCATCCATGTCTCTTGCTTCCATCATGCCCTCAGCCCTAGTTTAGGCAATCCTAATTCCTAGATGGAATCAGTAACTCCTTATGAGTAGCCCTGACTCTTCAATCCATCCTCCACATTGTATCACAAGTTTTAAAATGCATTCCAATTAAAAATCCCTTAATGGCTACCCATTATCTACAAATAAAGTTCCAACTTCTATATGGATGGCCCTTCACAATATAGCCCTAACTCACCTTCCAGTTTCACTTCCTGCTACTTTTATGATTTAGCCGCACTGAATTATTTGTCATTCCCAAAACACAATGTATCTTCATGCCTCTTTGACCAATGTTTGCTATTCATCTGCCTGTGATGCTCTTCCTCACCACCATTTGGTAAAATCCTATGCACTCTTCTCAAGACTCAGACAAATTTCAGCGGTCTGGAACCTTCCAAATGCCTTCACGCCCCAAGCAAAATTAACTGCTTGCTTAGCATTTCATAGTGTTGACTAAGGACTCGGTTGTTCTGGGTTCAAATCTGAGTCTTACTGCTTCTTATTTGTTTCATTTAGGGCAAGTTACTTAACCTTTCCGTATCTTTGTTTCCTTCTCTATAAAATGAGAATTATTATTATTGTTACAGTATCTAACACCTACATTTTAGCTGGCTTAAGTCATATTATTAATATTAAAGTATGAACTCCTGGGTACAGGAACCATATCATATATTCCTCTTCTACTTTCATCACCTAAAACTGCGGCTGGTATATAAGAAAAGTTCAATAAACATTTTAAAGTTATACATAATTTACATGAGTAAAGAAAGACAAGTAAACGACATCGTGAAGCAATTAATAGTATTCTGTGGTTCTGGAGGTAGAAGGGGTAAGAAGAATGAATATAAATGGACACACCAAAATCATAAATAGTTTTGATAGCAGTTCAATCATTATAATACTGAAGTAAGCAGAAGTGAGTTATAATAGTATCTCTTATGTAGCATAATGATAGAAATGATATCATTCCTCCATGCTGTTAACACTGTTCAAAGTGCTGCCAAAGGCAGAACTACTAATGTTAGATGTCTATACAAAAATGATATAAAATAACAGTGTTGCCTTTATACACAGACATCTTACTTTTCAATTTTTATTCTGAAATATTTCAAACCCACAGAAAAGCTGGAAGAACAGTACACCATATACTTATACATACTTTAGCAAATCTACCGATTATTACATTTTGCCTCATTTCATCTATTTATATTGGGGTGGTTTCTGTTTTTACTTTTTGTGTTTTGGCTGATCTGTTAGAAAATCACAGACATCATGAATATTTCATCTCCAAAAAGTTTGAGTATGTATCAACCCACAAATAAAATCATATTTCATATATAATCAGAGTACCACTATCGCACCGAAAAAACTTAAAACTAGTTTATGACTACCTTCATTATTACCTATTAAACAATCCATATCCCAAATTCCACACCTGCTGTAAAAGTGTCCTTCATAGCTGTTTGTCTGTGGGTTGGATGGGGAGACTCAGAATCTAATCATGGGTCAAGCGCTGCGCCTACTGGCCCATCTCTTTACTTCCCTTTGCTCTGGAACAGTCCTCTGGCCTTTTTCTGTCTTTCATGACACTGACATTTTTGAAGAGTCCAAGCCACACTATCTGGATCAGTCTGATCATTTCTCTTACATTTTGACAGGAATATTACACAGGTGATGTATCTTTCCCATTGCATCGCACCCAGAGACATATCATGTCGATTTGTACCACTATCAATGATGTAACATTTGATCCATTGATTAAGTGGTATTTGTCCAATTTCTCCATTAAGTAACAGAGAACTCCCCTTTTATAACTAATAAGTAATCTGTGTGGTGCACTTTGAGAC